ACCCTAAACTCTAAGCCCTAAGCCTTTAACGAAATATCCGAGCCCAGGCCCAGGCAACGTATTGCCTCTGCGATCTCAAGGCAGCGGGAAATCTGTGTAGTACAGAAGCCCGAATATTTTCGAATTCTTATATGATATACTGATACCATTCTACCAGAGTATACCTCTCTAATATTCGCCGTTGGGGCTCCGGAATATATACAAGATAAATACCATTCTACCATGGCAGACCTTAGAACCCTGTTCTAGTTATTGCGTCCCCTACATCACTTACCTGAAGCATCGGGTCTAGTCAGGGCCCAAGAGCTCCGAAGGGGTTTAGGGTTTTAGGGCCGTGGAGTTTGGGGGCTTGGGGTTTGGGGTTGAGGGTTCAGTGATTCAGGTCTTGGGGTTTGGGGTTTAGGGTAGGTCGAGAGCCTTCTTGGGTGCCGGGGCCATAAAGAGACGTGGGCAGGGTGACGACTGCTTCGCGCCGGAATTTCTCGCTGGCCGCGTGGCGGCTGCGCTGTGAGCCCTTTCTGAGCCACGTCTCTCCGCTTGCGAATCGGACGAGGTTTTATCCGGGGGCTGAGTTTCAAGCCCCCGGAGGCCCCTACTTAGACCCTTATTAATGGACTCTAACTGAAAGGCTGAGATCGACCCCTTTCTGCGAACTCAGAAAGCCGCCTGAAGAAGGCCCAGTGTGTTTTGGAGCTTTTCTTTCAGGCGGCCTGCAGCTTTGTTTCTTGCAATCAGCAATTCATGGGGGTTGCGCTGAAACCAGCGAACTCAGGTTCCAAAGTATGCCGCGAAGCTTCAACGCCAACTCCCAAACCCCTAAAGCCCCAAAACCCTCAAGCTCCAAGCCCCTAAACCTGTAATCCCCTAAGCCCCTAAATCCTTAACCCCCAACCTAAAACAGACCCCGAGGCTAAAATGCCCTCAACCTCGGGCCGTGTAAACCCCGAAGTTCAAGGCGCAACCCCCCGCGAGTGCGGTCAGACCTCCCAAGGACGCGATGACCGTCGTCGAAGGATCCCCCCTCCCCAAAAAAGTTAGGGCTGTTTTAGGCTTTAGGGGTTTAGGCAGGGTTTAGGGTTTAAGGTTTGTGTAGGGGTTTACAGAGGTAGTCAGGCTTTACGGTTTAGCAGGTTTCAGGGTGTAGGTTTCAGGCTTGAGGGTAGTGGGGGTGATAGACAACAGCAGTGCGGCTGTGGATGTGCGAGGGGTTTATCGCTCAGACTAGGGCCTAGGTGTCAGGCTCAGGGCATCAAATCAGGGAGTATAGACGTGAAGTGTCTTCTGCGCTGGGCTCCTGTTTCAGTAAGCTCTTGCTTTTGATTTTGTTCCGTTTTTGCCGCCTTGTGCAAGAGTCTGTGGGGAAGGCCCCCCTTCCCATAAATACAGGGGCCTTATTAGTAGCCTTAATTGTGTTATCGTCCCGAGGCCCTCATTCAAACAAGCGTCAACCCTGATATCTAGAATCCCTAATCCCCAAACCCTCAGTCCTAAGTCCTAAACCCTAAAGACCCTAAGCCCTAAGTCCTAAACCCTAACGGCCCTAAGCCTTACGTCCTAAACCCTAAAGACCCGAAGCCTTTACCGTGAAAGCCGGGGCCATGGAGACTCCTCTGTCGACGCCGCGGCGCGGCGCACTTCACACAGGCCCGGCGGTTTTCCTTCACAAAGCGGACTGCCCCAACCCTAAACCCCTAAACCCCTAAACCCCAAACCCTAAACCCCAAACTCTATTGCCTAAACCCCAAACCCGGAAAGCCCTAACGCCGAAAACCTAAGCCCTAAAACCCTAAACCCTAAAACCCTAAACTTTATGGAGGATCCGGCAGGTCTTTCTTTAGAGTACTTGAAGGGTCCCTGTAGGGTTTAGGGTTTAGGGTTCTTTAGGGGTTTCAACGGGGATTGTAGGGAATAGTTAGCAACAGCATGCCTTTTGGGCCTTTCCAAAGCCCGACAAGAGTACCACAGATTCCCATGGAACCTATGCTCAACCCCGAAACCTTAAAATCATGCAAAGCTGAATATTTACCGACACCGTTCCTGGGTTTCCTTACGAATTATAGTATGCTTCCGAAGCCTTGTGCTAATCTCCGTCAGCTCCAGAAACCTAAACCGTTTGGTGGGCCTTACAGTCAGGCTTATAGGAGCCCTTTAAAGGAACTCGTGCAGGGACCCTAGTCTAACCATTACGGCTGCTACTGTATCTTACGGGGTTCTTGGTAAGGAACTTTAGTTGAAGTTACCAGAATAGCAATCTATAGTCATGAACATGGTTTCCTTATTATGGTAACTCACCCTAAAGCCCCCAAACCCTGAACCCGAAACCCTGAACCCTCAACCCTGAACCTACTTCCCTAAGCCCCAAAGGCCCTAAACCATACAGGCCCTAAAGGCTAAACTTACAAGTGTTTAGCTGAGGTGGTGCAGCCATCCTCCTCGGTGACGGCCTCAGCTCAGCTATAGAGCAGAAGGGTTCTCTTAAGGGTTCCTTTAAGGAATCCTTTCAAGGGTTCCTTTAAGGGGTTCCTTCTAAGAGTTCTTTTGAGGGGTTCCTTTTAATGGTTCGTTTGAGGGTTACAGGGTTTGGGGGTTTAGGGTTTTTGGAGTTTACGGCTAGGGTTTAGGGGTTTGGGAGTTTGGGGGTTTAGGGGTTTAGGGGCGGTGAAGGGTGGTCGAAAAGGGTTTTTGCAAGAGTTGAAAGGAAGGTTTTCAAGGGTTCAGAGATTCATTTTTTCGTGGGTTTTTGAGGGGTTTTGCCTGAGCTTAGGGAATTTGGGCTTCATGGGCCTAGGCTTTCGGGGGTCTGTGCAGGATTTCGGGTTTAGGCCGGGGTTGTAGGGCGGGGCCTAAGGTTTTGGGGTTTAGGGTTTAGGGTTTAGGGAAGGTGTTGGGGTTCGGGGTGCTGGCCGCCGCCCAATGACTGGAACCCCACCACTTGAAGCCCGTGAGACCCTAAATCCTCAACCCTAAACCCTAACCCCAAGCCCCAAATCCCAAACCCTAACCCTAAACCCCAAAGGCCCCTGAACCCCAAACCCTCAACTACAAACCCTAAACCCAAACCCCAAAACCCCAAAGGCCCCAAACCCCAAAGGCCCCAGCACCCTGAAGCAGACTCCTGGCACCCTCAAGGCGCTCCCCGACCTGGCAGGCTTTGTCCTGAACGGACATACTTTTCGGATGCCCGAGTCCAAAAACCCGACCCAAAGCCCCTTTATGTAGGGATACGTGATGTGTTTAGGGGTTAAGGTTGAGGGTTTAGGGAGCTAGACTTGTGTAGGAGGAGCAAGAGGGTGGTATCCTGAGTTGAAAATCGCCGTCGTGGTCAAGGTGCCCATAGGTGATTTCACTGAAGTACATGCCGAGTACAAGCACATGACCTTCTTGTGTGCATTATGAAACCCCCGGCCTCGCCCCGAAATCTTACAAGTGCAAGTCCTAGTCTGGTAAGAAAAATAAGAGTCGGTTAGTATGTAAGAAATATTATTATTATTATTATTACTATTATTATTATTATTATTTCTATTCTTATTATTATGGTTATGATTATGACTATGATTATGATTATGATTATGATTATCATTACTATTACTACTACTTACTATTACTACTATTACTATTACTATTATTATTATTATTGTTATCATTATTATTATTGTTATTGTTATTATGATTATGATTATGACTATGATTATGATTATGATTATTATTACTATTACGACTACTATTACTACTATTACTATTATTATTGTTATTCTTATTATATGATTATTATCATCATCGTCGTCGTTGTCGTTGTCGTTGTCGTTGTCGTTGTCGTTGTCGTTATTGTTGTTGTTGTTGTTGTTGTTGTTGGTGTTATAGCTACTTTTATTATTATCATTATTATAGTTATTATTGCCATTATGATGATGACGGTGATGACGGTGATGATGATTATTATTCTTATGATTGTTACGAAGGGCCCAGAGCTGATGAGGCAATGGGCCCGCGCTACCCAGCCGACTCGAAGAAAAGATCCAGAAGGCTCGGAGGGATTCGAGGGTCTTATCGCTGCCAGGGTACCTTCAAAGGGTTTAGGGTTTAGGGTTTTTCTAGGATGTTCTAGAGTTAGAAGGGTTTAGACTACGCAGGCCTTTGGGACATTCTAGAGATGTTTCGCTGATTGGGCCTACAAGAGGATCTTCCTTACGAAGGTTTTCCAGAGGCTTTTAAGGGCCAGCCTAGGATTGGGGCCCGGGCCTGTTTGCAAAAAGAGTTGTCGGCAATGTAGTTGAAGTCCTAAGCTCCAGACACTTCGCTTTGAACACCCATGTCGTCTGAAGTGCAAAAACGACGGGCCGTCGCCGAGGATTTCTGGTGCTTTGCTTGTTCAGTGCAGAGAGTGTGGACACTTTTCGAGGGCGAGGCTCGAAAGATCACCCCTGCTGCCAGCTCCCCGCCCCCGTGTGTCCTGATCGAGCCCATGGCCGGTGCTGCCAGGGTGAGCTACGACAAGGTCTCGGAGAAGTGGAGTCGGCCAACCACTTGGCCCTCAAGGAAGAGACTGCCCGAGAGAGAGGCCCACATACCCCGCATGTCGTCCTCTCCACGAAATTCGGAGAACCGTGGTGCACCGTGTCCATTGGCATTAAGGAGATTCTCGAAGAGCTGGGCTGTACGGTATACAACCCCAACACCGACAACAAGGCGCGCTCGGGGTGCCCCTGGCAGAAAGGAAAGGCTCAAAGAGACTAGAGACTTCCTTGCTGCCAGGCCCTTCCCGTGTTTGAGCATGCTGGGTTGAAACGGGTTCAGTGGGCTTTGTTGTAGGCCTTTCTCGCTCTCTCTCTCTCTCTCTCTCTCTCTCTCTCTCTCTCTTCCCCTCTCACCCTCACCAGCAAGGAGCTCTACGGGGACGAGGCCGATGACAGGTGGCTGCGCACCTTCTGCGAAAACTTAACCAGGATCCAGCGCGAGAAGAGGGGCTTCGTGCTCCAAGTTCAGCAGGGCGTGGTCCGGGAGAAGTCCAACATGCAGATCGCGGAGGAGGAAATGGGCACAAATTGGCGAATCCCCCGCATGGGCATTTATGCTTTTCCGACCACCGGAACTCGAGGAGGCGGCACCACCGCGGAGCAAGATCTGGCCCTAGCAGTGGAGAGGGCCCGACAGCAGTGGGAGGAGGGCATCGAAGAGGAGGTGGAGATGGTGTCAGAGTGGTATGAGCCCATCGAGGGCGACCGCGAGCTGCGCCTCAACGACAAGGGCGAGCTTCAAGGCCGAGCTCGGTGCACGTTCCCTAGCGGCCACGTCTACGAGGGCTACTTCCAGGATGGCCGGAGGCACGGTGTGGGGACCGACAGGTATATGGACGGCAGTGTCTTCGTCGGGGAGTACCAGGATGGCCAGCGGAACGGCAGGGGAACTTACACGTCTGCGAACGGCGCGGGCTTCGTTGGGGACTACCAGAAGGACAAAAAGCACGGCAAGGGAATGTACACGTATGAGAACGGTGACGTGGAGGTCGGCGTCTACGACCAGGGCGAGGACAAGGGCCGTGCGGTGAAGCTCAGCGCGGACCGCACGAAGGCCTGGCTCTGTATGGATGGCGAAGAAGAGCACGAGGTCTCCGTGGCCGAGGCGGGGGCCGGAGAGCAGAGAAAGAGAGCGCCGTGTGCGTGACCGATCTGCTGCAGGCTCGGAAAGTCGCGCAGGAGTGCGGGCTGCCACCCCTTCCATGAGACGAAGCGCGTGCCTCGGCTGCTTTGGTGTGTGTTTGTGTTAATTTAATTTGTCTGCGGAGAACTCTGAGCCGAGGTCAGCGAAGAACTCCCGAGAAGACAAACCTGAGTGAGGGCTCAGGGCACCGATCTATTCAGATTTCAAACTTTCCAGAGTTTCAGAGTTTAAGAAGTTCGGCCCTGGTGGTCGGCGGCCCTGAAGGGCCGATGGGTCAGCTGGAGCACTCCGATCATCCCACACGCTGCTCGCGAGACTGCAAAATGTCACAGCTCTCTTTGAGGCAAAATGTACAGCACCTGCGCCGCGTGGGAGCTGTAGTGACGCATGGGGGGATCGTTTGGGTCCGTGACTGCTGGTATCGAAGATGTGGACTGACAGAGGTCGCGAAATGTCGCTTCGAAGGTTTTTCGAGAAGTTGGCAGCCATGGCTCGCACGGACACGGATCCTAAGTCTTTCAACCCTTGATTTACAAGGGAGAGTCTGACGCTTTCGTTGGTTTTTGTCGCATCTGCAGCGGCCGTAGAATGCCACCGCCTGCCGCAACCCAAGAAGTCCTGAACCCAAGAACTCTCAACCATTAGCCCATGAGCACTGAAACCGTTAAGCCCTAAAGCCCTCATGATAGCCTTCTATAACCCTTAAACCTAGATCTTACGCAAGCCGCGTTGGCTACCTGCCAGGAGGTGCTCCACAGCGAGCTCCTCGAAGACAGCGCGCTCTTCAACCAGGCGATGGGCGTCTTCGGGCGAAGCCTAAAGTCTGCATTGCAGTTCCTTTTGTCTGTTTAACCAGTCATTGTGTTTAGGATCCTCTAAGGCAACCCTAAGAAGGCGCTACAAGGGAGTCTATAGGGAACATGTAGAGTTTTTGCTTCAGGGTGAAGCAAGGGGAGGGTACAAGGTTCATAGCATCTCCCTGAACCCCAAACCCTAAACCCTAAATTGCTACAGGTTTTGGATGCACAGGTTCAGGGTTGGAACTTGTGTACCGCTTAGAGGTTTCTGGATAGCCTTAATGCCGGGGCCATACCGTAGAACGCGGCATGTAGCTGAGAAGAGTCCAAGACCATACTCCACAGCTAATCCTTTTGCCTCAAACCTTTAAATCCTAAACCCTTAAATCCTAAACCCTTAAATCTTACACCCTATATCCCAAATCCTAAACCCTTAAATCCTAAGCCC